ACTCGCTGCTTTTATTTGGCCTGTGCGCTGACCCCATCACATATAATCACGCTTCCCTCGCCGTCCTACTCACCTCCCACTATCGTCCCTTTCCTCCCTCCACTGCACTTCCTCCTATTATTTGCTCAGACTAAATCCGTAAGGCATTTTCGTTCCCTTAGAAATTATGCAATCGCTGCACTACCTAGCTATATTATCTACCTTACCCCCTCCTTTAGGATCTATAATTAGGCCTTTCCAGACTCTCTCTCTACGTTTTTCTCAACTACCTTATTAACAGCTCTATCTCTACCTAGAATTTAATTTTCAACCCTCTCGCTTATCTCATAGTAAGAAGTCTTCACATTAGGGCTTTTATAAACGGTTTGCAATTGTTCCTTAACTTTCGCCTTCTCAAAAATAAACGTCCCTCCTAGTCTATTCATCCACGATCTACCACATTATCAATTATACGGATTAGCAACAAAGGGGCCTCAGACGCCCCAATTACGTCTCAACACGAAGCGCTAAGCCGGTAAAACTCCAGCTAGACACCTAGTAAGGTTACATTAGCACATAGCCTTAGAGAAACAATTAGTCTTAAACCGTCGAAGTATCACTAAAAGGCCAGTTTCGCTAAGAAAAAAAAACGCCAGAAAAACCGCAGCTAGAGTTTAACCCACTACTCAGCCATACAGGTAGCGGCCAGGCATGTACTTCCCAAGACTACGTTGGAACATAGTTTGATAGAGCCTAGGTCCACGCGAATGCCCGCATAATAGCAATATTCCATCCTAGCGCTACAGATCAGGGGTATTAAAGGCTAGAGCGGGCGTTCAGCACAGCCTAGGCGCCAATCTCTCTACACTATATAGCTCACACCACCCAAAGCCTAACGTCTAGAGTCTAAACACAGATTTAAGCCCATATCTAGGTTTTGGCGTAGCCAACGAGTTAAAAACCCAGATTAGAATCTCCCTAATCAGTTAACTAGCTCTAACAGAAAGGGGGCGGCGCAAACTATAGCACAGCCTACAATCTAAGAACATGCATTATACTTTCTCATTTCCAGTACAAGTATTGGCGGGAGATTTAGTCACGTTTCCATCCAAAAAAGGGGCTTCATACAAAGGCTACATCGCCACCAACACTTCGCCGCATAATACGTTTAAATACACGACGCGAAGCTGATTAGACTCTATCCTAATATGTCGCTGGCAAGGGTGCGCAGTTTCCAGCACGGTCTCGTACGGGTTGCGAAAATATAAGTTGGTGTTAGTGTAGGGTCTTATATAAGCAAAAACCCAACCCTACACCTACCTAAGGCCCGTGCGACCCTACCCTACCCTATACAACCCGCGGGTAGAGGGTACCTATTTACTAGCGTAGACTAAACGTATACATCGCCTTTATCATAAAAAGTTATAGATTAAATCACGTAGGGCTTAATAAGACAATAACTATAACCTCCTTCGCGCTATTGAGAAAGATAAAGGGGGCAGGCGATAGTTTGTTCTAATCCAGTTCTAAGATAGGTCTAATATAGGGCAAACTTGTAACATCGTTGTAACTAGTTGCATTCAACAGGGTAATTGTCTGCGCCACATGCATACGGACCATCCGCACCCTTTGGAAAACATATATCGAGCTCGCTTCCCTGGCAACAACTTGCAAAACTATTCCTTGGACCACCATTTCCTAACTTACACTATTACTTGGTTATTATATTAATAGAAAGAATAGGTAACTAATGAACTTACATTACCGTTAATATCATAGTTACCCTGTGATCCACAGCAAGAATCAGTGAGACCAGGATGGAATTCTGCAGGGTTTGTATCGTTTCCGCAGTAGTAAGAACACGTAAATGCGTTAACTGTAGCTATGTGCATCATGCTTATTGTAATTAGTATAAGATAAATCTATAGAGAGTAGCATAGCTTACGTAGTTATAACAGATGCAAACGTGAATACAGAGATGCGCATTTCGAGTTCGAAAAAGAGATTATTATTCTTGTGAATATGTAATAGAATATAATTGCTTAGATAGTATATAAAGAAATATAAGGAAAATAGTGATTTTATAAATCTAGAAGAATATATATATATAAGAAATTTTCTTAAGCTAATCGGACCAATTCAGTCGTCCCTAACTTTATGCGTCTTTAGTAGACATTTGTTACAAGTAACAGCAGGAAGGATCCTCTCCCTGGGTCTGACGACGAATGGTTGGGAAACCACT